ATGAAAAAGTCTTCTTGACCCATAGGATGTAGATACTACGGAGGAACAAGAGCTGGAGAACTCTGACTGTCCAAGGCCCTAGGAAATAATTCCCACTCCACATGCCTCACTGCTTCCTGCTCTTTGAATACAGGAATCTCCACCATGTCACCCTTCCTTATTATTCTAGCAATGCCGAGAACTAGTACAGATGGTGCTATACAGAATCAGGTAAGAGTAGTAGTCCCAACTGGAAGGGATTGCAGAAATGTGCTACCTCGTCACAGGCAAGCTCATCTGAGATAACGCATTCAAAGTGCTGGATTAGGAAGACAGGTGATGTTTCCAAAAATTCTGGGGGTTGTTTAATAAAAACCTGGATTCAGCCTTGGCCCAGGCAGCAGTAAAGTTCAAAAATCCTGGCCTCAACATAGCAGAAGACATTCAAAGACTGAAGATAGGAATATTAAATTGTAGCCATATGATACTGCTCATTTCATCAACCTTTTCATTACACCTGTTTATATAAATTTCCTTTACCTACATATTACATATGTGTGTGTGTGTGTGTGTGTATAAACTTGCTACCTTGAGTAACAGATTAGCTAGAAAAGACCTAAATATTGAAAAGGAATTGGCCTGGATGATCCAGAAGATTTTTTTCCTGATACACAGTGACTTGGGAAACAACTGAAATAAAAATGGGATGGGAATGAGGGAATCCTGGGGGAAGATAGGCCCAGAAGGCAGCACAGAAGCACTTGAAGTAAACTGGGCAGAGGTTTATGCAGCAATCAGGGCTCTTTGAAAGTCCTTACATATAAGAGTCCACTTTTGCTCCTTTCCATGAAGTTCTCAGAAGTAAATCAATAACAAGACCTCATTTTATTTGCATAATCTAAGAAAAACAAAAAGCTCTAGGACACATGAGGAGAAGCTGAATTTTAACCAGCACCTTGGAGCATTGAGCATATTGGGAGCCTGCTGCTCAGTTCCCAGGCCACAGCTCCTGAGGCCCTGGTATGGAGGAAAGTATCTTGCAATGGGATTGCAACCCATGAAGAAGGGCTTTTACGGTAGGGATGAAAAAAAGAAAAAGCCAGTGAACTCTGCTCTAATAGTCAACCAAAGGCAAAGCTGCATTCTGGGTGAAACTGAAGATATTAGTTTCACCACTAAAGATTTAAAAGATGCCAAGTATGTTGATTCCTATTAATTTCTACTCAGTTTCTGGTAGAATTGGTACTAAGTCTGATAGGTTTTAAAGAATGCTGGTGGAACTCACAAAAATTAACTCAAAATGGATTAAAGACTTAAATGTAAGACCTGAAAGCATAAAACTCCTAGAAGGAAATACAGGGTAAAAGCTCCTTGGTACTGTTCTTGGCAATGATTTTTTGGGATATGACACCAAAAGCACAAGGCAGCAATCACTAAATTAAACAAGTGGGACTATCGCAAACTAAAAAGCTCTGCACAGCAAAGGAAACAACAGAATTAGAGGCAACATATGGAATGGGAGAAAATATCTGCAAACCATATGCTTGATATGGAGTTAATATCCAAAATATACAAGAAACTCATACAATTCAATAGCAAAAAAAAAAACAAATAACCCAATTACAAATGGGCGCTTGAATAATTTTCCAAAGAAGACATATATGTGCCAACAAGCTCATGAAAAGGTGCTCAACATCACTAATCATCAGGGAAATGCAAGTCAACCACAAGAAGATATCACCTTACACTTGTTAGGATGACTTTTCTCAAAAGGACAAGAGAGAAGTGTTGGCAAGGGTGTAGAGAAAAAGGAACCCTTGTGCACTGTTGGTGGGAATGTAAATTGGTGCTGCCACCATGAAAAACAGTGTGGAAGTTCCTCAAAAAATTAAAAATACTAGCAGCAATGGAGATCCAGCAATCCCACTTCTGGGTATACAATCAAAGGAAACAAAATCAGTATCTCAAAGAGATATCTGCTCTTCATTTTCTTTGCATCATTGTTCACAATAGCTAAGATACAGTAATAACCTAAATGTCCACCAGTAGATGAATGGATAAAGATGACAGGGTTCATACAAAAGAATATTATTCAGCCATAAGAAAAAAGGAAATCCTGCCATTTGCAACAACATGAATGAACTGGAGGACATTGTGCTAAGTGAAATTAAGCCAGAGAAAGACAAAACACTGTATGATTTCACTTAAATGTGGAATCTTAATTTAAAAAAAATAAGTCAGACTCACAGAAACACAGTGAATGGTAGTTACCAGGACCTTTGGGGTGGGGGAAATGGGGAGATGCTGATCAAAGGGTACAAACCTTTAGTTTTAAGATGAAGAATAGATCCTGGGGTGACTGTATGGTGACTATAGTTAATACTGTATTGCATTCTTGAAATCTGCTGAGAATAGGTCTTAGCATTCTCACCACACACACAAAAAGGTAACTATATGAGGTGATGAATGTGTTAATTAGCCCTACTGTGGAAATTATTTCACAATATATACATATATCAAATCACATTACATACTTCTAATCACAATATATACATATATCAAATTGCATTATATACTTCTAAAAATACAATTTTTTTGTTGATTATACCCAGTAAAGCTGAAGGGAGAGTGAAAAGGTTCGTGGAGTATTTCTAACTTAATGAAATATTCACTCTAATTGTGGCTGCTAATTTATATATCCAGATACTACAAATAGCCAATTCATCTTTTCAGCTGTAATACATAATGAATACAGAAGCAGTTTGTCATTTATTCCTGCATGAGAGATCCCTTTCACCTTTATAATACCATTTGACACCGTTTAATCTGCAGGGACCTTGACGATCTCCGTATCCTTCGAAACTTCATGCCAGCCGCTATGTTGGCAATGTCATGCTGATAGGTCCTGGAAATAACAGGTTACCTGTCTACCTTCCATGTTAGTAAGGTCTATATGGTGAATTCCACAAAAACAGAGGGATCTGTAGTTTCAGAGTAGACCATTCAGAAAGAGCCTAGAAAATATTTGTGCCATACATAAATTCTCATATAAGTTCCCCACTGCAAACAAGATTCTTAATCAGAAAGTGAGGAGAACTTTCAGTTGTTATCAGTGATCTTCCTTCTCCGGCCAACCCATGCCTTGCTAAATGGATGAATTATAAAAGGATGAATTACAATGTCACAATGACCAGGATAAAGGATATCCGTGGGCTGAAAAACACGGACTTCACTCACCCGTCTAACTTGGTTACTCCAATGCTGAACTCCCAACTCTTATGTGGTAACTGACATTATCCTCTACCATGAATGGGGTAGCTATTTGTCTCCAAGAAATAGACACAATTTGGGATTTAGAACTGCTTCCCTGCTCATCACACATCTGCAAGCACCTCCTCTGGTGGATATACTAAATCTCTGATGCACTATTATGGCATCCTACATAATAATGTCTCTGATCAAGGGACATATTTCACATTTAAAGTGAGGCAATAATCTGATGCCTATGGAAGAAACCAACCAAATCATTTTCTAATTAGTTTTGATTTATGAAAGGCTTTCACATTGATGAATATCTCTTGTGGCTCTACAGGAATTTTTTAAATATATTTTCATTTTTATGTAAAATATAAATAAATGATTATAAGTTTAAAAATTATATCACTGTTACCAAATATTGCATTGAAGATTCATTTTCATACTATCTTTAATAATTCATAATATAAAGACAGTTTCATATTTAACAAGTGACATGCTACTTAATTTGCCTTAAAGTATATATGAATATCTAACTGCATTATAAATAAACTTTGAAAATTGATTTTAATATGTTTGATTTGGAATCCAAATGCAGGTTTCTGTAAATAACACATTGTTGGATTTAATCATGACAAATTTTCTCTCTTAATACAGAGCATGCTTAATGTGCTACAGAAGAGTTTAATTAGCTTAGAATGCCACTTAAGGATTTGAGAAGATCATCTTGAGGTGAATTTGATGAATTATGATCATGAGCTTATATTTCAACATTAAGCTTCATTTCTTGTATTTTTTAACAGTCCATTATGGGAATGAATTAAATAACATGCACCTATGAGTAAAATCATTTAAAACTATACAGTGGTCAGAAGCACAAAGCAGGATGTCTGAACACACCGATCTGACCCCCAGTAGCCACAGAGTATGCTCACTCTATATATACTCAAAGGTGCTAAAACTGTTGCATTTCCTAAAGGAAAATTAGAAAATGTTAAATATTTGAATAGATACTTAATGAAATGCCATTACTGTCTTTAACAATGCAAACCTCCTTGGATACATCTGTGAAGCCTGGAAGTTTGTCTACCACCAGATGGGAAATGTTGGTGCCCTCTGTCACTGAGGACTCAATGACGGTACCAGCTCTGACACACAAGCTAGGCTGCCATCTTATAAAATGTCATTAAGCTCTGACCAGTGACCAAGGAACCACTGTCTCACGGCTACACCTTGTCACACACCTGACAACTAAGGTGTGGAGGTGGGAGTAGCACCTCTACTTACATACACTTGCCTTAACTATTTCCTAAAAGGATTTGGAACAACTTGCAAAAAAAATAATTAGAGAACATTAGCTCAAAATTAAGTAAATAAGGCAATTAGGAAAAATAAGGGTAAATGAGTATTCTGGAAATCTTAAAACCTAAGGGAAGAATACTTATATTAGAAAACATAGTAAATGTCGTATCTCAATAAAGCTGGAAGGGGAAAAAAGTGCTCCTGGTCTCATAGAGAGATTCCACCAGGTCACTCTGGAATCTTCAAGCTACTGAGGGAAGAATCAAAGAAGGCAGCTGGCTGGTGTGACTGACTCTCCGTGGGAAACACGGTTGCTACTCTGAATAGGAACTAAACATTTTAGGGTGTTTTGGAGACTGAAGATCCTGTAACCATGACTTTTTCCAGACTCTGAAATTGGCAAGCCAAGTTGGGATATGATAAACACAACACCAAAGAACATACTTGGAATGCACCATGTTTACCTTAAGCTGCCACAGCACCAAGTGCTGCCTGGAAAACTTGCTTCTACTGTGCCCAGCGCTACAGGTAAGAAGAGACAACCCAGGTCCTTAAACACAAGATCACCAACGACTCAGAGATCTCCGGAATAAAGACCCACTAGGAGGAAAAAAAAAAATCACAATCAGATAAGGTCCTAAAACAAGGAGTATATAGTATATGAACCTGCCAAAGTCCAAAGTCCAAATTCAAGACAGACTTGTGACCAATGACACGAATTTCCTTCTTTCTTCTCCTGTTTCCCCTGACCATTGCATGTAGAATGTGGAGGTGGGAGTGGCACCCCCACTTATTAGAAGCACTGGTGATGTTTATATTGTAGTTTTGTCCAAAGATGGCAAAATTTTGATATGGATCACAAACTAGAGAAATAATGGCACAATCTAAGAGCCCAGATTCAGGGTAACAGTGGCAGTGAATGAATTCAACTGTGAGTCGTCTCCCAACAAGTGGGCCTGGAAGTGAAGCCTATACTATCCAGTTCTGTCACTGGATCCCAACTGATGATGTAGGGGCAGCAAAAGACCCAAACTGAGACAATAAAATTCCCTCCCAGGAATTTGGCATTTGGAGTGAAAAGCACAGAGTGAGATTTCCGAGTCACATTAACAGCAAAGACCCACGGAGCAGGTCCGCAGACCGTGCTGTGAAGGAACCCAGTGGTCACTGCCACTGTTCTTTCTCGCTTTTATACATCAACGTTCTTTCAATTTTCTTTCAACTTCCTTTCACCAAATTCCTTTGTTGTTAATGTTATTTGTGCTCTAGAGGGACTTAAGTAAGAGCTGTGTATTTTATTTCTTACAAATAAAATAACTAATACAAAGGCAATAAAATTCTAATCAAGTTCTTGACATGATTTTTTTATGAAATACAACAATTCTAAAATCCACCTGGAAAACTAAATGCACAAGAATCACTGAAATGTGTGAAGGAGAAAATAATGGAGAAGTAGTCCGCCAGATATCAACATTCACTGAGCCACAGTCATTTAAATGTGTTACTACTGCAAATATTCAATAGCGGAAAGAAAGAAGTTTAAAGTATTGTAAAAGTAAAATTTAAGTATTCAAAAGTAGTGTTAAAACAATTTTCTGTTCATGCAAAGAAAAAGTTGTTAGACCCCCTTTCACAGCATTTATAAAGCTGAATCCAAAATAATTTAAACTTCAAAAAATTTTAGCAGTAAAAATATTAGAGGAAATTTTTAAGGAATATATTTATAATCTTTAAGTTGAGTCTTAAGACAAAAAATATAAAAATTTACTCCCTAGAATCCAAATTTTCTATACATTTAAAAACAAAAACATCATATAGTTTAAAAAACAAATGATATACTTAGGAAAATATTTTGTACAGACAAGACATAACAAAAATTAATTGCTTTAATATACCAAGAGCTCCTAGAAATAACTGAGAAACAAACAATATGGTAGGGAAATGGGTAAAGAGTTTGAAAACACTCCTCATGCTAGAAATGCAAGTGACCAATAAACACAAGCAAAGATGCCCAGCTTTATTAGAAATGGGGAGTTGCAAAATGAAAGGATAACTAGATACAATGTTTTTATGTATCATATAGGCAAAACTTCTGAAGTTTGAAAATATTAGATGGGAAATACTGGAAATGGGAGAAAAGAGCCACTTACATGCCCATTGATGGGATTATCAGTTTTTACAGCCTTTATGGATGTTAATTAAGCAACATCTAGTAAAATGTTCAGTCAGTCTTTAGCAATTCCACTTCTGGGTATTTGTGAAAAATAAACATATATCTTTGTATGTATGTATAAGAACTTTCAATATTATAAATAATAGCAAAAAACCTGAGGAGACATAATACATCTGTTGGATAAAATTAGAGCCACTTTAAATGCCAAGAGTGACAAGCCAGACTGGCTGGAGTGGAAAGTGAGGGCTGGAAAGCGCTGGTCAGAATCCCACTGTGCCCATTCCCACTAATGAGTTCTGTAAGGTCTCTGCTGATAGCAAAATCCAGGCCTTCAAAAGAAGCTGGTGGAAGACATACACAGGAAAAAGGTGAGCTGTGTAAATACATGCCAGTGGCACCTGGTAGCACAATGCTATGGGAGCAGTCACCTGGGCATGATAAAGTTTGTAGGAAAAAAATACACCTGAAAAAGGAAATAAATAGCCTTAAGGTTTAGATGGAAGATCCACCAGCCCAGCAAAATTGTGACCATGAAAATGAAATGGCTACTTTAGGCAACAGGTAAAGAACAGAGAACAAACCTGAGTCACCAAGAAGCCCTTTGAATGCTGAAAGGGAAGCCAGACAATGAATTCCTCTGTAGTAGTGTGAGGACTTCCATGACAGTACCAGCGGCGAGGTGGCTTACTAAACTTAGTAAACCACAGAAATTTACTTCCACACGGGTCTGGAAGCTGGAAGTCCAGATCAGCGTCAGTCGAGTTGGTTCCTTCTGAGGCCTCTTTCTTGGCTTTAGAAACTGGCTTTTCCCTGTGTCTTTACATTATCTTTCCTCTGCGTATATCTGAGAACTAAACCCTAAAAGGACACCAGGCACATTAGATTAGGGCTCATCCTAATGACCTCATTTTACCTCTTCAAGGCCCTATCTCAAAATACAGTCCCATTCTGAGATGCTGAGGGTTGGGACTTCAGCACAGGAGTTTTGGGAGGGTCACAATTCTGCTCCTGACCACCTCCTCACATTTTCAGGTCTTCTGCCTGGAACATACCTCCATCCTACCCTTCCCAGTGCATTTTTCTCTGCGAACTCTGAATCATCCTACAAGAGTCGGCTTTGATGCAATTTCCTCAGGGACATCTTTCTCAACCCAAATAACCCAAATCTAAATTGAGCTCCTGTTCTGCTTTCTCAGAGCACTTACAGTTTACAAAAAGTGTTTATTCTTCATATCAGTCATCACAGCTTATAATAATGCCATACAACTGGGGGTTATTTGTCGCTGCTCGGTCTCTCTCATACCACCCCACTAGACTTTGGCTCTATGGAATTTTAGTTCATCCCACCCCAACAATAACATAGGCCCTGTGCTATAATAATAAAAGTTCAACATTTATTGAGCATTTATCATGTTCCACTTCACTAAACACAGAGATAGATGCATATATACTAACACTTTACTTCTCTAAACATCTCTACGATGTAAATATTATCCCTGTCTTATATATCCTGAAAAATGAAAGCTCAGTGTGCTCAAAATCACATAGCAAGTAGCAGAGCTGGAATTTGGGAGGCTCAGTAGACATCTGTTGAACTGTGAATAAATGAATAAACCTAATTGCCATAAATATAGAGAAAATAAAATGATTTATCTACATTACTGAATATTATACAGTACTTTGAAAAGGATGAGAAAGATTTCTACACAGTAACATGGGATGAAATATATTATTAAGTAAGAGAAGTCACAGAATAGTATCTTCCCATGTGTGAGTATGGGTGTATGTGTGCACATGTACATGCACATTTTTGTGAATGCTGAGATAAATGCTGGATAAATGCACCCTGAAGCTATTTTGGAGAATGGTAAAAGGAATCTGGGGGAAGGGAGATAAAATAGGGCTTAGAGAGGCCAAGTAGCCCAGGTGCCTGACAACACTTTGGAAAGAGGGAATTTCCACTCCTAGAAAGTGCTCAACGAAGTACCAGCACTTAATGGCACATTCTTCCCTTCTCCCTCTTCCACAGAGCGGTATATCCTACCACTTTCCATAATCATACAGCTAAACAGATTCAGCAGGCGGATTAAAAAGGCACCTCAATTCACAGATGGGCAAACAGCCAGTAATCTTAAAATATTTGCAGAAAAACAGCACATGAAAGATGACCACCAAACTCAATAGTAATACCAATACCCAAGGAAACAGAGGGTTTAACATAAGACTATGATATTGTCAAAAGGTACAAGATTATACTGCACCAATAAAAAAGTCAAGACAATGGAAATTTAAACCTTAGTTACTGATATATATATATATCACCCCAAAATATATGGGCTAATAAACTGGATACAACCAAAACAGTGAGCTGTAATATCAACCTCAGAATTTACCCAGAAAAATACAAGCTGGAAAGTATGAGGTAAGGGTAAGAGATATAGTGAAGTTCCAACAACCATTTACAAGGTCCAAAACAAACTAAAGAAATAATAGCACAACCCAAAGAGCCCAGATTTGAGGAAATGGTGGCACATGACATTGCTCCCAATATACAGTAAACAGATATGACTCTGGGTTGTTGCAAGTTGGTGAAACAGTGATACCTATGCTACTGAATTCTGCCACTTACCACAGCTGATGATGTAGGGACAAAGGACCCAAGCTGATAAATGTATTTATCCCAAGAACGATTTAATAGGAAAAAACTATCAAAATACTTTACATCATTAAATGCTCAAAAGAAATGTTAACTAGCTATGCTGAGAATGTAAAATTTAAATCTTATTGTCATAGTAGAAGTTAGCAATAGACCAGAATTTCATTTGAGAAGCACATTTAACAGTGAACTTGCAAATTCGCTTAATGTTGAAATATTATAAGCATTACAAGTCAGAAGTATAATAGAGATGACTTCTCTCACACCTACTCTTCAAATTATCTAGAAGTCTTTGCAATAGGCAATACAATAAAAATAAATCATAAATATTGATAAGGAAGATATAAAACTAATTGTTCACAAAGAAAAGAATTTCTTAAGCAGAAAATCCAAAACAATCAATAATTAGAATGAGCAGATACATAACAAACACAAAAAAGGCATTACTGTTCAAAAGCAATGACTCATTGAAATATTGTAGTAAAGATCTTTTACAACAATAAGCAACAAGCGAAAAAAAAATACTATGAAATTTAAAACAGAATTGTAGGGATTCACTTCACTGGTTATCCAAACATATTAAAGTCTATTATCTAGCACAGTATGCTACTGGAGCTAAAACAAACAAGCTGAGCAATGAAACCCAAACAAATCAATATGTACAGTAAGGTGACATTCAGATTTGTAGGAAAAAAGAAATACTGTTCAATTAACAGTACTGACACAATCAACTATCAATTCAGATACAAAATAAAGTTAGTGTCCAACCTG